GTTATTGTACTCGGCCCTGAAAAGCTTAGAAATATGGTATCTAACCAGATTCTTACTCTGGATGGCATTACCTTGGCCTCCAGTAACGCTGTGAGGAACCTTGGAGTCATTTTTGACCAGGATATGTCCTTCAACACACATATTAAACAAATATGTAAGACTGCGTTCTTCCATTTGCGCAACATCTCTAAAATTAGAAATATCCTGTCTCAGAGTGACGCTGAAAAACTAGTTCATGCATTTATTACTTCCAGGCTGGACTACTGTAATTCATTATTATCAGGATGTCCAAAAAACTCACTGAAAAGCCTTCAACTGATCCAAAATGCTGCAGCAAGAGTCCTGACAGGGACTAGAAAGAGAGAGCAGATTTCTCCTGTTTTCACTTCCGTTCATTGGCTTCCTGTTAAATCCAGAATTGAATTGAAAATCCTGCTCCTCACATACAAGGTCTTAAATAATCAGGCCCCATCTTATCTTAATGACCTTGTAGTACCATATCACCCTATTAGAGCACTTCGCTCTCGCTCTGCAGGCCTACTTGTTGTTCCTAGAGTATTTAAAAGTAGAATGGGAGGAAGAGCCTTCAGTTTTCAGGCCCCTCTTCTGTGGAACCAGCTTCCAGTTTGGATTCGGGAGACAGACACTATCTCTACTTTTAAGATTAGGCTTCAAACTTTCCTTTTTGCTAAAGCATATAGTTAGGGCTGGACCAGGTGACCCTGAATCCTCCCTTAGTTATGCTGCAATAGACGTAGGCTGCCGGGGGATTCCCATGATGCATTGAGTTTTTCCCTTTCCAGTCACCTTTCTCACTCACTATGTGTTAATAGACCTCTCTGCATTGAATCATATCTGTTATTAACCTCTGTCTCTCTTCCACAGCATGTCTTTTATCCTGTCTTCCTTCTCTCGCCCCAACCGGTCGCAGCAGATGGCCCCGCCCCTCCCTGAGCCTGGTTCTGCCGGAGGTTTCTTCCTGTTAAAAGGGAGTTTTTCCTTCCCACTGTCGCCAAAGTGCTTGCTCATAGGGGGTCATATGATTGTTGGGTTTTTCTCTGTATCTATGAGGCGACTTTTGTTGTGATTTGGCGCTATATGAATAAAATTGAATTGAATTGAATTGAATATGTATATATGTATTTAAGCTTGGTTCCTCTACCAGAGGCCTGGGAGTTTGTGGGTCCTGTGCAGTGTATGAAGCAACTTCTTTTCTAACTAAAGTTAACTAGACAGCTGACCAGTAAGGTGCTTCATGGACACGTGTTAGTTTATTTCCTTGTTGTTTCTTCACCAGTGAATAAGGTAAAAGAGTTGGTTCCAAGGTAAATTTGCATTTGGGAACTTTGGCTGCGAAGCCATGACATGCAATCAAATAATCTCTCAAGATGCAAGTGAAACATGTCATCATTGGACAGCAAAAACAAACAAGTCCATCAGAGAGACAGCAGAAGCACTTTAAGTGTTGAAATGAGCAACCTGGCACACTCAAGAAGAAAAAAGTGCATAGGTAAGCATAGCAACAGAATGGCTTTGAGCCACGATCGCCCCAGAACTGCAGCCGATGATCACAGCATTCTTTCTAAGTAAAGAAAGCATACTCTCCATAAGGAATAAATTATCAAAGTGTGACACAAAGACCACAAAAGTTGCAACCATTCATCAGTCTTGATAGGCCAGAAACTGCAAAAAAAAACCCAAGCGCTACATCTCAGACTCTACAGGCATTTAACTTTAAATATCAAAGTTCAGGTCAATGCAATTAGAAAGATACTAGAAAGAACAAGTATGTTTTATTTGGAAGGTTTTTTAGGAGAAAGCCTCTTCTCTCTAAAAAGAACATGGCAGCACAACTTAGGTTTGCAAAGTTCTGCCTGGACAAACCACAATACTTGTCAAACAATGTCCTTTTGACAGACAAGACTGGAGTGGCGATATATGGCTGTAATGCACAGGGGTGGGGTTTGGGGGTGGTGCACACTAGAGACCTGTTCAAGGCGTATCCTGCCTCTTACCCTATGGTAGTTTAGATGAGCTTATATGATTCAGATAAGCAGTGGGTGGTTGTAGCTCAGGGGTTGAGCAGGTTATTGGGCCAAAATCCTCCTCAACAATGTGTGACACTAATAAAGCCACACAGAAAGCCATTATTTCAAATTATTGCTGCTACAGGCGACAGAGAGAGAGAGAATCTGCATAGTGTTTGTTAAGTAAATAATGACGTGTAATGTGCCTTGATATGTAAAATCTTAGAAGTGAAAGAGGGTGTGCTTTCAACATCAGTGTGATTGGTTGCATCTTTCCAGGACAGAAATCATATCAAACAAAAGAAAGGTGAAGAACCTCCAAATAAATACAGCATGTGTAGATGTTTTAACAGCTCTTGTCCGTTCTTTTCCATAACTACTGGATCTATTGTGAATTTCTCAACATTTACCATAAAGCCCAGTCTCAATACAAATGTGGCATTAAAGGCATCATATAGAAAAAATCTTTCCTTATTGGACTGTGTTCCCCACCTGTAATCTAGGTCATCTGTGATCTGTGTGTTTATCTAGATCTTGACGTTATCTGCTGATAACAAGTGTGTTCGCTCTGTGTGCAATTTTGAAGTATGAGCAAAGGCAACATGCACGTTAACCATTAAGCAATAAAGAGCTGTGTGTTGTGCCGCCACCTCTTGTAAACTATCTTGAGGTCCCTCCATTGGAGAAAGTTGCAGGAACGTGGTGGACGAGCCAACACTAGCATCATCATGTCCCGGATCACCTTCTTTTTCTCCCGGTCTGTTAATGGCGTGAACCATTTCTGCAGTCGCAGCTTCCCCTGTCGACTGAACAGCAACAGAAAGCGCATCTGAAGGTAAAGCGGATGGAAGAGCAGAAAACAGTGACTTTGGTTTAGTCATTTTTAGCCCTGCAAACACATTGCTTGTAGCTAAAAAGTGGTTAATGTGTAGCTTTTCAGAGAAACACAAACATAGAGCGAAGCAGTGAACGGTAATACCTGCCTTTGCATGTGGCTGTGCCAAACCGCAATTACATTTGCCAACTAGACATGTGTAAAGATCACTAGGGAGACATAACACCTCTAAATCACCTTTGAGTGCAATAACACAGTAAATATAGTGGTTGTGTTGTGCAACAGCAATTAATGAAAGCTCTTTGCCCTGGGGTGTAGCTGCACAAAGGACTGCTTCTACCTGCAACAAGGTGACTATGAGAACGTGTGGAGTAAAAATAGCCATGTGTGGAACAATACTTGCTGAATCAGACACTTTTTAACCCTGATGCAATTGTTTTCTATGCTGTGTAAATACCAAAGAAACTCAAGCACCACAGATTTGCATTCATTTACTTGTCTGACTGGATCTGGGCTTTACCCAAAGTCTAGTTATCCTAACATGAGGAGGAGAGGGCTCACACTATTTTTTCTCCTCTAATTTCCACTTCTTAAAAACGTTTGGGCCATGCCTACCGATTTCATGACCTCTGAACAAGGAAGTTCTTGCTATTAACTGATTATACAGCTATAATATACAAATCCAAATAACCTACAATCTGCTGATCTCAGGTTAAAAAAGAAACGAAGCAAACAACACACACAAACAATAATTTGGATACACTGAGCCAATAATTTGATGCATTTCATTGCCTATAAGCGGATAGAGCCACCTCAGTACATCCAGTTATGGGCACAGGTTACTTACCATTTTGTAAGCCGCCCAAATGAAACCCTGTAGCCCTGTAATTAAGCCCTGTAATCGCAGAATCCCAGTACTCTCACTTACTGCAGGATCGTGTGCACTCTCAAGTGTAGCGACATTGTTCATCTACCCAGAAATCCTTGCCGCTCCCACCTTCTTCCAGCCAAGAGCCGCGCCCTGCTACTCTGCAGCTGCTGATTGGCGCACTCAGACAGGTGAGCAGGCAGAGGGCTGCAGGTGGGGTATAAAGTACACTTCAGCCTGGTGGGAAATGTAAGCTGCAGCCCTTGTTACATACTGCAACAGTGTCAAGCAAAGTTTGGGGTCACTCAATCACAAATATAAGAGAAAAGCTAAAACTATGGCTTCTGTTTCCGTTTCAGTTTATTTTCCTTTTAAATCAGCATTTTAACTTATAGCTAAATGTCATAGTTCTTTGTTTCTGTAGCAGGCTGTCAGTTGGGTTTTTTTTTGTCAGACTTTTGTCTCATAATTGTTGTGTATTTTTTTTCTCCTTAGTATCAACTAATGTAACTCCTCAGTATTATTAACTTATCAGACATTTTTCCCCTTTAAACACGGCTACCTTAAACCTAACTGTAAATTGAAAGAACTAGCTTTTTTTTGGCTAGCTATCAGTTAGCGGAATTCATGATGACTGCTTGGTAACCTATGTCTTTGTGGGGGGGGGGGGGGGTTATTGTATATTTCTATTTTATATTTTCGTGTATATTTACAATTTCTTTAAGCATCACCGTCTTGTATTACCCCAATAGATCACTTCACTCTGGAAGTGATCTATTAAGCTTTTAAATGCTTCCCATTTAAAAGCAAAATGGGAAACAGAGCCTTCAGCTTTCAGAGCTCTCTGTTGTGGTACCAGCTCCCAATTTGGATTTGTGACACAGACATCCTCTCTACTTTTAAGATTAGGCTTAAAACTGTCATTTTTGATAAATCTTTTTTTTTTTCTTTTAATTTGTCGTTTTTCTTACCACTGTTGCCAAGTGCTTGCGCACAGGGGTCCTCCGACTGTTAGAGGGTTCACTAAGACCTACAATATAAAGTGCCTTGAAATAATTATTATTGGGGTTTTGTGTAAATAACATTGAATTGAAATTTGAATATTTTATGTTGAGTATTTCACTCGAGGCCTCTTACTGTCTTCCGGTTGGGGGGATGAGGTTTTTAGGGTTAGGGTAAAGCGTTACTGTCCGCTGGTGTAATGTCTTAGTGCTGCCGCTGGGCGGCCGCTAATGTTTATTCACGAGCTACACGTGGTTTTGGTCCACGGTAAAAGCTGGAGAAGTGAGCGGCGCACAGCGAGAGGCTTCCAGAGCAGCAACATGTCTCTGTACCGCAACTCCGCCTGGTTCCTGAAGGGAGTGACTGAGTTCACCAGGTAAGACATTTGTCCTGTTGTGTGTGCGCTGTGGGAGCCGGAGAGAGTCTGTGACTGTCCTGCTGTGCATCCTCAGTAGTGTGTGTGTTTGTGTGGAGGATCAGCACTCAGACTTTTCTTATAACTGAATGACTGAAAGTTGATGGTAAACTATTTATAGCCAGCTTATTATAATCAACTTAAATGTGAATAAAACCTTTTTCGTTAACTAAAATAAAAATGATAACCAGACCTTTGAAAGCATTCAAACTAATTAAAGTTTAATATAGTAAACTTTGGTATCACAAACTGCCTGATGAGGGTTTGATGGACGTTTTTATTGAGGCTTCGGGTGTGTGCAAGAGCTTTTGTGTCGACTGTTTTCAAAAAGTTCTGTTTATATTGTAATATCTAAATTGATTTGAATAACCCTTACCTCTGACATTTGGTGTAAATAAAATAAATTCATAAAGACTAAAACTAACACTGAAACTAATAAAAAAATAATCAAAACCAAGCATTTTCTAACAATACAAAGTAAACTGAAACAAAAAAAACACTCTGGAAGCTAACTGAAATTAAACTGAATTTAAAAAGAAATAAAAATAAAAACTAATAAGAAAATACAAAACTATAATTACTCAAAACCATAGTGACAGTAAGAAATGCCCACTGAAAGCAGTGTAAAGTATGAATAGATTAGGGGGTGGCTGCTGCTAAATGCTTCCTAATGTTAAAGTGAATGTACATTCCTGTGAATTAACTGTAAGTGTTACAGCACACTGTGTATTACTATGTTACAGTATTATCTTAATGATCAATTTTGATGTTTGACATTTGAAAGTGTGAAAATGAGGCTGCAGACTTAAGTCGCGGTTTATGATCACAGATGGAAGGTTTTAGCAACAGACCCCTGAACATCACAGATTTGTGAATCAGTGTACACTTTATAGTGACTAAGCAAGAGGTTTGTAGGACCATAACTCAGTTTTTGAACAATAACAGGGCTCTAAGAGCTTTATCAGTCTTATGTGATCTATTGCAGCCCCGAGATGCCTTTCCTCATCAGTACACAGCAAGCCAAGTGTTTTGCAGAGGTGCTTTCGTGATTGTTTCCCTTCTCTCCTTTGTTCTGTGTTATCTTATTCTCCCAGAGAGCTGCCCGACAACCCGCTCTGACCCTGCACTAATAGCTCTCTGCATGACACCATCGAACAGAGCAGGCATTTAACCTCAGTAATTCTCTCTCTGCCTGTCCCCTTTATGCCCCACTTTGACCGCCCTTAACAATGGGGGGAATTGAGGTCCTTGGTGGCACACACGCTTAGACACACGCATACTCATAAATGACTGCTGTTGTCACCACCATCACTCTCATCCCAAACCTCTCCTTGACAGAGACGATGCCAGGCACACACTTTCCTTCATTGTATCTGTACAGTAAAGCTGTGAGGACATTTACAGTCAGCAGGATGATCTCAAACACTCACCCCTCAAACACAGAGGCAGAGCTAAATCTGATGGCAGCAGCAAATAAGCAGGCAGCTGGTATATATATGAAATGCTGTAGGTGTTGATGTTTTACAGGAATGCCTTCTTATCAGCGTCTAAGCGGTTTGTGGAGAAGGACCTGGAGGTGTCTGTGGCTGGACGTTCCTTTATGATAACAGGAGCCAACAGTGGCATCGGAAAAGCCACTGCCATGGCCATCGCCAAGAGAGGTACCACACCTATGACCCTGTTTGTCTACAAATCAGCCCAAACATGGCAGACAGGAAAGCAACACATAGTAAAATCGCTGAGAGAAAGAAGCAACATGCATATCCATATGGATCTGTGAATTCATAAAAGGCCCAACTCCACATTTTTTAAAAATTCCAATTCCAACACTAAAAAACACTCAAGTATTTTTTTTTTTTGTAGTTTTACAACACACAAACGTTGGGGTAAAATGTAAATAAAAATAAAATGTAATGGTTTGCAAATCTCATAAATACAGATGTTAAATATTTAAACATCAATTGTTTAAACTGATGCATAATTTTAAGATAAATAAGATTTTGAATTTGATGGCAGCCACACGCCACATAAAAGTTGATTGTCACAGTGTAGTGATTGTGTTTTCTTTTCATGATGCGCCAAATGTTTCAGCTGGGAAAAGGTCTGAAAGCTCACAACCCTCACTCTACTACTATAAAGCCATGCTGTTGTAACAGTATGCAGTTTAACATTGTCAAGCTGAAATATGCAAGGCCTTCACTGAAAAAGACATTGTCTGGATAAGAACTTTAACCTCCAGTGAGCTGTGATCATAGACAGTGATTTCTCGAAGTGTTCCTGATCCACTGATATCCACGAAAGAATGAAGTCGGTTTTTAATGCAGTCCTTGGGGGGCCTGAGGATTAACATCCAATAATAATTTTATGTCTTGTCTTTTGTGCAGAGAATCCGATTACTTTTTTCAAGTAACAAGTAAAGTAAGGGATTACTGTTCCAAAAAAGTAATTAGATTACTGTTACTTTCCCGTAAGCACGCTGCGTTACTAAACCGTGATATTGTTTGGGAGAGTGTCTCGTGACAATGACGTGCAAGCACGCAAGTCCATGGCAGCAACAGACGTGTGTAGACCAACAATGGATAATATGGAGTGCGGGAGAGAGTACAACCATGCAGTGTTTAAAGCTTGAAAGTACTGACATTACTTTGAATTTGATTCTGTAAAAAGTGACAAAAACATTAGCGTCTGATGTAAACTCTGCGTGGGAAGAAAACTTCTTTCTACAGCGAAAAATTTAACTTCTAATCTGAGAAAGCACCTAGCACAGTGTCAAGGGAATGTGAAATTCACAAAGAAACCCCCGGATCCCCCCACTGACATGACCGCTGCAGCACCGGGCAAACCTCCACCCACCCCACTCCTCCTAAACAGGTGAAAGAAGACTTAAGGGTGACAGGAGTTGGTGCTGCTGAATCTTTGATTTATTTATTTTTTGCTGTTTTACTTGCATCTATTTGAAAGAGTGAGTGTAAACACACAAAAAAAATATTTTATATGCTGGAATATGTAGAAAATAGGTTTAAAGGTTAAAGAATTTCTCCAAGTCAAAGACAGTTGCATATAATTTAATTTTTGCTTGATGCAATGTGCATAAAGTTTAAAACTAATAAAACAAGTTTTAAAAAGAGACTTTTTCATTTGATTTGATTTTATATGATGGATTCTGCAGATTCTGCAGAAAAAACAGAATTAGGCTGAAAGGTCTATTGCTTTATTACGTATTCAGGTTGTGTATCATGTTTTTAAAATGTAACTAAGTAATAAAGTAACTAAGTAATAAAGTAACTAATTACTTTTGAAAATAAGTAATTAGTAAAGCAATGGGATTACTTTCTTGGAGAAGTAATCATAGGGTGACCATATTTTGATTTCCAAAAAAGAGGACACTTTAAACAATGCCTTCTCTGTGCGGTTAATTAATTGTGAAATAAAATATGTCATATAGGCTTTTACAAGTCAACAAGTGCAAAAAAATAACTTAAAAACCTCTGGAATTAAATAATGGTACGGAAATAATGCCTCATCTGCATTAAAAATTACCAGTACTGGGTTGGTATGAGGGCTGGACTGGGACAAAAAATTGACCAGGGCATTTTGACCCACCAGGTATTATAGGAGCCATAAGCCTCCCCGGGAAAGTCTATGCCAGGGTGCTGGAGAGGAGGGTTCGTCCGCTAGTCGAACCTCGGATACAGGAGGAACAATGCGGTTTTCGTCCTGGTCGCGGAACACTGGACCAGCTCTTTGTCCTCTCGAGGATACTTGAGGGTGCATGGGAGTTTGCCCAACCAGTCTACATGTGTTTTGTGGACCTGGAGAAGGCATTCGACCGTGTCCCTCGGGGCGTCCTGTGGGAGGTGTTGCGCGAGTATGGGGTGTCTGGCCCATTGCTACGGGCCATTCAATCCCTATACAACCGTTGCAAGAGCTTGGTTCGCATTGCCGGCAATAAGTCGGACTCGTTCCCGGTGGGTGATGGGCTCCGCCAAGGCTGCCCTTTGTCTCCGGTTCTGTTCATAATTTTTATGGACAGGATTTCTAGGCGCAGCCAAGTGGCGGAGGGCTTTCGCTTTGGTGGCCTCAGAATCTCATCTCTGATTTTTGCGGATGATGTGGTTCTGTTGGCTTCATCGGGTGAGGGCCTCCAGCTCGCACTGGAGCGGTTCGCAGCCGAGTGTAACGCAGCGGGAATGAGGATCAGCACCTCCAAATCTGAGGCCATGGTTCTCAGCCGGAAAAGGGTGGAGTGCCCACTCCGGGTCGGGGATGAGTTCCTGCCCCAAGTGGAGGAGTTCAAGTATCTCGGGGTCTTGTTCGCGAGTGATGGGAGAAGGGAGCTGGAGATCGACAGACGGATTGGGGCTGCGGCTGCAGTAATGCGGACGCTGCACCGGTCAGTCGTGGTGAAGAGGGAGCTGAGTGTAAAAGCGAAGCTCTCAATTTACCGGTCGATCTACGTCCCTACCCTCACCTATGGCCACGAGCTGTGGGTAGTGACCGAAAGAACGAGATCGCGGATACAAGCGGCGGAAATGAGCTTCCTCCGAAGGGTGGCTGGCCTCTCCCTTAGAGATAGGGTGAGAGGTTCGGCCATCCGGGAGGGGCTTAGAGTAGAGCAGCTGCTGCTCCACATCGAAAGGAGCCAGCTGAGGTGGTTCGGGCATCTGGCAAGGATGCCCCCTGGGCGCCTCCTGGGCGAGGTGTTCCAGGCATGTCCCACCGGGAGGAGGCCCCGGGGCAGACCCAGGACACGCTGGAGAGATTATATCTCTCGGCTGGCCTGGGAACGCCTTGGTATTCCCCCGGACAAGCTGGAGGAGGTGGCTGGGGAGAGGGAGGTCTGGACCTCTTTGCTTAGGCTGCTACCCCCGCGACCCGACCTCGGATAAGCGGATGAAGATGGATGGATGGATGGATGGATAAGCCATAAAGCCTTTGAATGAAAACAAACGCTGTTGTGACAGTGATGTACACAGTCTTGTTGGTATATGTATGAATTCTATACATTTCAGATAATTATTTTTTAAAAGCAAGACATTTTAAATGAGAATAAGAAAGAAAAGTATTTCTTTGAGCCCCCCTTTCCCTACCTGGCCCCCTGGCAAAACTTTGCTAGACCCACCCCTGCACAGTTACCAGCTGTCAGCTACATAGAAAAGGATCCTGGTGTTATTTGTCTCTCAGAAACAGATCATAACTTCCCTTCAACTCATTCATGTCACCTAAAAGGCAAACCTGTTTCTCCATCACCTGTTCAGCTCTGATGATCCAGTAAGGACATCTCCTGGTTTCATCTTCATGTTTCCCTCTCACCACATATCCAAACCGATATCATATCACTATCAGTAACATCATAGCACCCACCCAGCTGTATAGAAACTCCGTCATGCTAGCTAGTACGCAGTACGAGTTATTGTAACTGACTGTAAAATGTCAGCACAACAAAAATAAACTACACCTGAACTTGGTTTATATCTGACCCAGATAGACTGCAGGTCGTAACTTCTTACCCGAAGTTCAGTTCACCTGACACTCATCCACCTGCTGGCCCCTGTGGAAGCTCCGCCATAGACACCACCAAATAACTGAGTTATTTTTACACACCGGTCAGCATCTGGCCAATCCACCACCTTTCATTGTTTATACCGTTACAAAACAACAACAACAACAAAACCATCGGCTGTAAAAACAAAAAATCACCATCGGCCCACTGCGCAAATGCCCGATGGCCAGTCCAGCTATGGCCGGTACGAGAGAAATTTCTTTTGCAGTTCATCTGAAAAGATGCACTTGCGCTTTGGGATCTTTTAAACATCATTAGGCGTGTTGGTGCGCGCTGTCTGTCCCGTCTATGAGTGCAGAACAAGCGCTCACAAAGCAGCAGTTTCGGGGATGGCGTCACACACATGGGTCCTCTGAATACAGGAAAACCCGGACATTTTTATGAATCTCAAAAATCCCCCCGGAAGCCCCGGACAGAACATGAAAAGTGGACATGTCCGGGGAAAAGGGGACAGTTGGTCACCCTAAGTAATCAGTAATTAGTAGCAAATTACTATATTCAAGTAACTTGACCAGCACTGCTTTTGTTGACAGAGATCTCGCTCTCCAGTTCATTGAATCTTTTTATGATATCATGTACTGGAGATGAATAGATAGTTAACTTTAGAATTTTATGTTGAGGAAAATAATTCTCAAATTTTTCCTCAATTTTCAGACAGTTTTTTCCAGATTGGTGAACTCTACTTCAGAGTAATTGCGTCTCTAAGATGCTCTTTTTTTTTATACCTAATCATGTAACAACCTGTTGCCAAGTAACCTAGTTAGTTGCAAACTGTTCCTCCAGCTGTTTTTAGTACCACTTACTGTTCCAGCCGTTTGCCGCGCTCTCCTAACCTTTTTAGGGGACTGTTGCTGTCATTAATTCAAAATGAGGAAAGTCTTAAATTTCTGGAAGTGGGGTTGTATGTGAGTAATAATAAAACAAAGTACATTCACAATCGAGTAAAACTCTCAAGTGCAGGTTTTAAGGAAGCAAACAGTTCCAAAATAGTGGCCACAAAGCACATTGATGCTCCTTAAAAGACTTTTATAATAATAATAATAATAATAATAATGGATTGCATTTATATAGCGCTTTTCTAGACACTCAAAGTGCTTTACAATTCCACTATTCATTCACTCTCACATTTTCACACTTTATATTTAAAGATTGTAGTATTCATTCAATTTTTCAGGAAAAGGTTGATTTTAAGGTCCTTCTTTATCTTGTCATTGTATTCAACTGCTTATTTCCATTGCTAGTACCATGATTTATGTCTTTATATCTTTGCCACAGGTGGAACGATCCACATGGTGTGCAGGAATAAGGACAAAGCTGAGGAGGCAAGGGCTGATATTGTCAAGGAGACTGGAAATAAAGTACAGTGTGACTCTCTTTTCATCAACAAGATAGACTTGCACAAACAACCTTTAGTTTTACACCAGAGTTGACATTGATATTCATTCTGCTAAATGTCTGGCGTCATTACAGGAGGTCTATGTTCATATCCTCGACCTGTCTGAGACCAAGAAGGTCTGGGAGTTTGCTGAGGGCTTTAAGAGGAAGTACAAGTCTCTTAATGTACTGGTGAGCAACATATTAGTCTTTTGGGGGGGTCCTGGCAACTGCGACCACTGAATGATCATATATTGATATGTTTTAGATCAATAATGCGGGTGCCATCATGAGCCAGAGGGATCTGAATGCAGAGGGGCTTGAGAAAAGCTTTGCTACTAATGTCCTGGGTGAGTCAAAGATCAGACAAGAGGTATGAAGACCAGTCTGATGAAAGGGAAAAATGGAAGATAGTTAATTTGTACTTCAATGTTTGGTCTTCTTCAGGGGTTTACATTCTCACCAAGAGTCTCATTCCACTGCTGGAGAAGAGTGTGGACCCCAGAGTGGTGAGTCTGATCATTCAACCCATGTTCACTGTCGGTCCACATAAAGTATTCACTCCTACAATACTGTGCAAAAGTCTTGAGTCACCACCCCTTTCTTTATATTTTGCTTGGAAAATGGGACATAGGTAGGTGATTTATTGAACCTTGTGCCAGAATACATCCAAATAAAGTATATAAGGCCTCAGTTGTGCAAAATTCTAACAAGCTGGAAAGTTAGTATTTGATATGACTGCCTTTGTTCTCGGACTCAGCCTGAATGCTCTTTGGCAAGCTCTCTTTTAATTTCTTTAAGTAGTTTTAAGCAATAGTTCTCCAGGTTTCTTAAAGGACATTCAAAGCTCTTCTTTGTTTTACTGTCTGTCAATATGATCCCACCATGAAACATCAGCCTTTTCCCTCAGTTTCCCTTCTTTAAGAATGGCTTTTTGACAGTCTGTGATACCACCTCTGATGAGGCTTCAGTGAACTGAAGCCCCAGATGCATTCCTCAGGTCCTGTATCAGACCTTTGCTAGATTATTTTCTCCTGTTTCCTAAAGACATGACTTAATATACTGCTTTACATCTTTTAGGCCTGTCACTTCTTTTGTCCTCTACTTGTCTAGCTTCCTCAGTTCTTTAAGGACACGCTGGACACTTGTACTTTTTTGTAGATTCGATTAAAAAATGCAAACATTATTTTTTTTAATTGACAAGCTGCTAGTAAGAAAATGTCAAAAGATGCAATTTAAAATCATTCTGTTCAACAACATTGGTTCATCCCTTGTGTTATTAGCATTTTTTTCTTGAAAGATTCATATTTCACTGTTTAGTGGCTTAACAAACAACAACAAAAACACTCCTCTAAAAATGCTCATCTACAAAGCCTAGAGTGAAAATGTGTGGAAAAGTAGCCAATGTCCAAAGAAAAAGTTCAGAATGCTGAAGAACTTGTGCTCAAGACCACTTTTCAAAATGACAGGAAATGTCTCGGTCCCTGTAAGCAAAACAAAAAGAAATGAGGAGTGTTTCAAGAGTTTTGCACAGTATTGTATATTGTTTTCAGAAACAGTCAGTAAAATATGAGGCTCTGGCCAACATAACTGGACAGTGTAATAATCAGGTAATGAGTCCGAGCTGTTGCATGAGGGCTATTTAATAGGTGAACAAGGATTCGCACAAGTAAACATTGCAGTAACACAATGACAAATAAAATACTAGATCGGCAACACTTAATGCAGGATTAAATGCAGTTGTAGTGATAATAGAGGATTTGGGATAAGTGTGGTTTATTTCGGTTTCTGTATTTGTGATCTGGTTTCAGTACATTTTTGCTCACTAAACAAAGCATTTAGAGCTGTAACATTGGGTTTTAGGAAACTTGTGAATATTTGGGTGGGGGGGGTGTCTACAGATTAATTCTCATTCCCCTGTGTTCAGATCACAGTGTCATCAGGTGGAATGCTGGTGCAGAAGCTCAGGACAGGAAACCTGCAGTCTGAGAGAGGCCGCTACGACGGCACCATGGTCTACGCCCAGCACAAAGTAAGATCTGAACTGGAAGCATCTGCTCGTCACAATTGACAAGACTGGTCAGGTTTAACGTCCTTCAGCTGTCTGAGTTCTCCAGGAACCGAGCAAGTTTGAAAAGTTTGAAAATGAGTGAAAACAAGAAGAGTATAATTAGTCTTCTGGTCATTGTATCTATGTATCAGAATATGACAATTTTAAGCACAGTCTTTAATCAGATATTGAAAGAACATATTTATCTTTGGTATAGCTGACAGATGATTAAGTGATGATTTATGAATAGATTTAGGATCCACATTATATCAGTGGTTTAAAAATTTAAACTTGCATTCCAGAATTCAAAACTGAAAACTTACCCAGTGAGCAAACGTCTGGGTTCAGCCCTGATTGGCAGTTGGATATTTGACTTAAAAGTATCACCTGCAGTGTTAAAGGTGTGGTTCATCGCATGACAAAGACGGGCGTTCACAGTCGATCATTGAAGTACACGGATGTTAGATGCACTCAGACGTGCTTGATGATGTGTGTTCCAGAGGCAGCAGGTGGTGATGACAGAGCAGCTGGCAAAAACTCACACTAACATCCACTTCTCCGTCATGCATCCTGGCTGGGTGGATACTCCAGGTACACTCACATAAAGTAACATCCGAATGCTTACACAATTTACAAAAGCATTAGATGTATTCCATCTGTGTGCGTATTTAAATTGATTTGCTCTCTGTTACCTGTGTGTGTGTGTGTGTGTGTGTGTGTGTGTGTGTGTGTGTGTGTGTGTGTGTGTGTGTGTGTGTGTGTGTGTTTCCCAGCAGTGGCCAATGCTATGCCAGACTTTCATCAATCCATGAAGGACAGCCTGCGGACCCCAGAGCAGGGCGCCGACACAGTGGTGTGGCTGTCTGTCTCTGAGGCTGCTGTCAAAAACCCCAGTGGACGTTTCTATCAGGGTATGTTTTACAGTGCAAAATTCTTTTTTCCCCTTAATATGAACACAAAAATCCAAAATAAATGATCAAGATTTCCATTTAGGAATGTAAACTGGTAAGAGAATAGCACAGCTGAATTGTGTATTGAACAGTAGTGAGATGAATGTGCTGCATGGGGTGTGCGTATGTGTGGATTTGGCCTGTGTCCATTGCAGCTGGAGGGGACTGCTTTGGTGCCAGATACCACCAAGGAGCACTCACACACAGATGCACTTTTTCATACACACACTCACAAAATGTCCCTAGCGGCCTTGAAGAGAAAGGTTGTTGTCTGACAGCACTCTTCAAACTAGACATACATACTGCACTTATAATAATATTTTCATAATAATAAAACCAAAAGTGACAGCAACTTGCTGTAACAACTGGAAGAAAGCCATAGATGGCTCTAATTTTTTAAAATTGTAATTAATTTAATTGGATTACTGCAACTCCCTTTTAATAGGGCATGGCCAAGACACTTTGCCATGCCTGCAACTGGTGCAAAATGCTGCAGCACGGTTTTTAAATGGTAAAAGAAAATTTGAGCATATTACTCCAGTTCTGGCCTCCTTAAACTGGCTTCCAATTGAATTTAGGATCTATTTTAAAATTATTTTACAGCTTTTTTTAAAAATACTGGTCTCGCACCTGCATATTTGTCCAATCTGCTGAAGCCCTATGTCCCTCCTTATTAACTCCGGTCAGCTGAGTAGATGTTGCTCTCAGTCCCTAAATCACGGCTAAAACTTAGAGGAGCATTCTCTACTGTGGCCCTGAAGCTTTGAAATGCTCGTCCTCTTCACATTAGGCAATCTACTTCAGTGCTGGTCTTTAAATCCAGGTTAAAAACTAATTTTTATTTGCTGACTATGGCCTCAGTGGGTAACTGACACTGTGTTGTTTTTAAAGTGCTGTATAAATAAGTTATGGTATGGTAACAACTGCCTGCTTGAGCTTTTGCCACCTCATATACTTTGAAATTCAGACATATCTGAGGTGTTGGTGTATGTGTTGGCGCTGCTTTTGTGGTGGCCTACGGCAGGCGTTTATTGAGTTTTCTAACTTTGTGGGGGGAGTTTTGTTGTTTTTTAAATTCACCTTTTTTTTTTTTTAACTTTGTTTTTAACCTTGTTTTTAACTTGTGAGTGAACAGATTGTTTCCCTGATGTTACGGCGGGGTGCGCTGAGGTGTGTGGAAACAGGACCCAAGAGCAGATGATAACGAGTAGTTGAAAGTTTGAGCAGAAAAGTGATCCTTTATTTGATGACGGCAAGTGTAAACCAGGAAACCAAAATAAACTGACAAAACACTAAGAAACAAAAACACTAAACGGTACTGAGACCAAAACCTAAACTATAACTGTGATGGAAAATAACCAGCAATTACTATGACTAAGACTAATGATGAATAACAGGCGAAAACCATAACTAAGACTGAGGTCAAAATAAACAGAACCAGGCTAGAACTAGGGTAGAATAAACAGACGACCCGACAATGGCATGAAGAAAACAAAAGGCTTAAATACAGACATGAGGTGAATCAGGGGAAGTGGAAACATATGGGGAAACAGCTGACAGCCATAAACCTAATGACAGGACCAGGAGAGAAAAGCTAAATACAATTAACAGAGAACACATGACATTGTCAGAATAAAACAGGAAATACTAAAACTAAACATGACAACACAACTTAACAGACCTAATACGTGATGAATAAATACCAAACCCCAAAACATAGAAAACCCAGGAACAATAACCAATAACTGCCTAAACTAAAGGCAAAATAGGAAATAACACAAAAACTAATAACATATCAAAAAATACAAAGAAAACTCAGAGTGCTGGGTCGGAGACCCAGCCTGTGACACCTGATTTGTTTCTCATGTGTTTTTTTCCAAGATGGGGATTTTCTACCCTTTGTTCAGTCTCACAAACACTCTGGATCCTCCTAACTTAATTTTTTTATGTGATTCTAACTATTGTAATCTTAAGAAATCACTGAAAAAATTATTTCAATATGTCACCTGTCCTACAAGGCATAATAAAACGCTGGATTTGTGTTACGGACCAATTAAGGGGATATATAAGTCTGTGGCTGGACCGACAGTAGGTTCTTCAGATCACAACATTGTTCAACTCCTCCCTGCTTATAGACCTGTGATTAAGAGGGAGATGGTCTGTGTGAAGCGGTCAAAAGTCTGGACAAAAGACAGTTCTCTTGCCCTTTGCTGGTGTTTTGATTGCACTGACTGGTCCTTGTTTCAATAGAGCTCTTGTGACTTGGATGAACTTACTGATGTGGTTTGTAGCTACATTCCTTTTTGTAAAGACTCTGTGATTCCATCTAGAGAATTTAAGAGAGAGACTTTCCCCAATAACAAACCGTGGCTCTCCAAAGACATCAAGGATCTGATTCTTAAAAGGAAAATTGCTTTTAATGAGGTTGACGTTTCCCCTGTGAGGATATTGAGGAAGATAAGATAAGATAAGATAACCTTTATTAGTCCCACACGTGGGAAATTTGTTTTGTCACAGCAGGAAGTGGACAGTGCAAAAGTTATGACGCAAAAATTAGAATACAATAAGAATAAATACAGTACACAGCTGTACAGAATAGAATAAAATAATATACTATATACAGTAGAATAAAATAGAATAAAAATATACAATAAGATAAAAATAGAATACGAATGCTATATACAACTGAGTAAAAATACAACGATGCCAGAAAAGATTATTGCACTTAGTGTTATTGCACATGTGTGGATGTGTGTGTTTGTTCAGTTAAAGTCTTTGTTGTGGAGTCTGACAGCAGTGGGGAGGAAAGACCTGCGAAATCTCTCCGTCCCACACCGTGGGTGCCGCAGTCTCCCACTGAAGGAGCTGCTCAGTGCTGTCACAGTCTGCTGCATGGGGTGGGAGACGTTGTCCAACAGGGATGACAGCTTAGCCGCCATTCTCCTGTCACTCACCACCTCCACTGGGTCCAGAGGGCATCCTAGAACAGAGCTGGCGGTGAAGGTTGTAATAAAGGAGGAAGGAGGTGAAGGTTGTAATAAAGAAGCCTAAGATGAGGTACAAAAATAAGATTGAGGCAGAACTCAGTAGTAATAACCTTAAGAGAGCTTGGCAGGGCTACAAACGAAGGGTAGCTGTAACATTTGCTTAGATGGGTTTACCTCCAACAAACATTTGGCAGATAGTTAGTATTTAATCTTCGTTTTGAGAATCTTGATCGTTCTATGCAAACGAGTACACTAAGAGAAAGGACTGCCATTCTCACATCATTTTGTATTGATGAGAGGGGTGTAGCTAATCTCTTTAGACACACTAAGAGTAAGAGTCATGGACCTGACAACATCTGTGGACAGGTACTGAAAACTTGTGCTGATCAGTTGAGTGTGATTTTTTTTTTTTAATCACATTTTTTCTCTTTCTTTAGAGTTACAGACAGTATCTAAGATTTGGAAACATGCTGTCATTGTTCCAGCTGCTAAGGGCAGTTCCCCTAAGGTACTGAATAATTTTAGACCTGTGACTCTGACTTCTTTAGTGATGAAGACCTTTGAGAAGATACTTAAGAAAGAGATTTCAATGTCAGCTGAACATCACCTTGACCCCTTCCAGTTCGCCTATAATGCAGGAAGAGGCATGGAGGATGCTGTTGTCACACTCCTGCATTTCTTGTATAAGCATCTTGAGGACCCTAACACTCATGCAAGATTATTATTTGTTGACTTCTCATTTGCATTCAACACAATTCAGCCCTCCTAACTTGCCGATAGGCTTTATAATCATTTTAAGCTTGACCATAGTCTGATCAGTTGGATCCTAGACTTTTTGACTAATAGGTCATGGATTGTGACCTATTTGACTAATAGAGATAAGGCGCAGTTGGTGGAAGCTAGATCTTACTACAGCAGACACTTGCTTATCGAGTTTGAGCGAGCTATCCAGCAGTACACTCAAGTTACTTACATAGTCACAGGAAGAGCTAGCAAAAGGACCCAGGGCAGCACAAAGTTGGACACGAGGGATTTTACTGTTGAACACCACAATCAGTCTTCTTATCGTTTAAAACGAGGGAATTACTCAGGAACCATTCTTTGACCTCCTGCACGCATTCTTGAAAGTAGTGCAGGGACACAGCAAGGTCGTCAGTAAGTTCAAAATAGATCTGTATGTCATCGGCGTAACAGTGGAAGGCGATATTGTATTTTTGAAAGATTGCGCCTAGAGGGAGCAAATACAATGAGAAAAGAATAGGGCCTAAAACTGATCCTTGAGGTACACCGCAACAGACCGGTGCAGAGGAAGAGGAGAAGGTGCCCAAGTTAACCGAAAAGGACCTGTCAGCGAGGTATGATTTAAACCAGTCAAGGGCAGTGCCTCTAATACCCACAGTGTGCTCAAGTCTTAATAATAGGATGTTATGGTCCACCATATCAAAAGCCGAAGAGAGGTCCAATAAAACTAGGACCATAGGGCGTCCAGTATCAGTAATTACAAGAATATCATTAAGAACTCTAACCAACGCCGTTTCAGTACTATGCAATGGCTTAAAAGCAGATTGAAATTTCTCAGCAATATTGTTCGTGTCCAAGTACGCCTGGAGCTGGGAGAGAACTAGTCTCTCCAGGATCTTGGACAAGAACGAAAATCAAAAGTTTGGGACTGTAGTGGCATGGGGCAGCCTGAAGGATCTGCTCTTTACTGTTGACTGTAGAATATCAATGATAGCAGAACAATTAAGATTGTGATATATGTACAGTAAAATATATTTTTGCTGACATGGCTCTATTCTGGGAGCTCTCCACTCATGCATGCATGGAGAGACTAAGGTGGGAGGAGCAGCACATAAACCACAGCACAGAACATATGACCAGGAAATTATGCTTAATTTCCTGCTGTGGCTGACAGGGTGAAGGTGGGTTACAAAGTGGCTTGCAGGATTGCTGCACCTGTGGGCTGGCTAAATCGGTTTTAACACCTTTCCCAATGTAATAGTTGCCATTTGGATGTTTAGAAGAGTATCAACTGGCACAGGCAATGAGGTTAGCTCACTGTCAATGATTGTGGCTGAGCCTGCCTGAACCAATGTTATGACTGATGGTCAGTAAAAGCTTCTTTTTAGTAGAGCAGATTTCTTTGCAGGAATGTCCAAACTATTGAACAGTACAAAATAATCAGTTTTCCCACAATTTTTTTGATTGACATGTTTTAATGTCAAGTTTCGAGCACACGCATTCTGTAGACATAGATATATACATGAAAACTTGATGATTTTTAAGTTTTGTTTTTTGTTTTTTTCTGTTGTTATTTCAATTATATTTGCATGTTTGAAATAAAATTCTATCTATCTATCTATCTATCTATCTATCTATCTATCTATCTATCTATCTATCTATCTATCTATCTATCTATCTATCTATCTATCTATCTATCTATCTATCTATCTATCTATCTATCTATCTATCTTAATCTTTTTTCCCCCCTCTGTGCACACAAACACATGCACTGCTACTACCATACCTATTCCCTCTGCTCTCTGGTCATTAAAATTCATTTGACTCACAGCTGTCATAAAAGCATGTTGTCACTCTATGGCTATGTAGCTGGTCATATAAAAATGACTTAACTCCTTCATTCTCTTCATTGACACCATAGTGGACCACGAAAATTTTATATAGTATGTAGTATATACCTTATTTATTTTAATTATTAATATCTGGGTTTGTTCGATTTTGTTTTTTTGCACTACATTAGATAACCTCAAAATAGCATTGTGAAAAATAACAATGTTGCCATTTTTGTTATTTGTGTGTTGTAATCTTTATGAAAAAACTAAAAAACACCTCTTAATCTTTTGAGTTTGGTGTATGGTGGGGTGCTGTGGACACCCAAGTTTGTGATTGCGTAGAATTTTTAAATCAATACCATGGTTCGTCTACTGAAAATCTCAGTGAACTTGACTTGAGGTCACATTTTCTGAAAATCAGAGGAGTTCCACATTTATAACACAGGTATGTCTACTAGGAGGCTAAACAGTAGCAATGTATTTATAAAGAATTACAAACAACAATTATTATCCAATTTATTTATTGATTGATTTCCTAATTGAAAATTGAAAAACAAAAGCCAAAGTGATCATTATTGGAGCAGCTTAATTAATTTTTGCAGTGTAATTTGCTGTTAATATCCTTTTCTAACCTCAGTTTGTGTTTTTGTCACGTTTGCCCAGGGTCAAAGAAGCAATGCTGGAGATTGCTTCTGTGTTCTCTTATAGTGTCAATACATGGGAACCTCTTAGAGAGGCCAGGGTTGAAAAAGGGATGCCAGAGAAGCTCCAAGGTTGTTATCCGCTGGTTTGCATCCAAGGCCAACATCTGTTTAATAAGGGTGACAAATAAATGTTGGCCATTTTCAGGTTCTCTTCCAACCTTCATTATCAAGACATTTACGTTTTAAATATCCAGTCTCCATCAGTGTAGATGCCAGAGTCAAGAATATGATCTTTCGGCCTCATGTATCCATGAGGGCATCATTTGATGGATTGACTGCAATGGCATTCATCTATTCTATGAGAAACATTTCCATGCCATTCCAATGATTTATCCCAATGTCACATCTCACATTCAGCTTGTCAGCCTCTAATTGAGTCTCTGTGACAAGAAGCGCAGAGTGCAGACAGAGGAGGAGCAATCGATCTCTCCTTTGTGGTCACAAGTGTAAATGTTTAGATGTATAGCCATGTTACTTCCCATGTTAACTTGCACATCCATTAGAAGGAGCCAGCAGGTCTATAGACTCCCTCTGACCTGTTGGGCTTTTATCAGTGGGAGACTCTGCACCTGGACTCACATGTTTGTGTGCGTAGGTGTGATGAGTATTGATCAGTTCACAGGTGAGGTGAAAATTGTACATTTTCTCTATTACAGAGTGCAAACTTTGATTTGTTTTACAGAATTATGGGTGTATATCCAAGTGTGACTTCCTTTGTGATTGTTTTTATGTCACAGGTCAGAACTGGGAGACACTAGAAGGTCGATGGGATCGTGACATAACCACCACAACCGTCTCCCAACACACACATGCGTACACACACACACTCCTCTCTCCCATAAGGAATGCCATTTTTCAGTCTGATGCTGACTTTCCTGTTTGAATTAGAGGTGCAAACATCAGTCTACTGTGATAAATTGTGTTTATCCAGGGCCAAAGGATCAAGGCGACTGTAATATAGTGTAAATTGATGAATAAACAAAGAGAGGCACAACAAATGAGAGTGGAAAAAAATCCCAATGAAGTCAACATTGTATTTTGGCTGCTACAGAGAAAGGACAAAGAAGCTGAATGTGAAGCAGAAACAAAGGGATGGATGGATTTTAGCTTGAGTCAAAGAAGAGCAAGGCATGGGGGCATTAAGAGTGTCTGGAGGCCACACTTATCTCTTTCAGTGAGAGGAATGTGTACACTCACAGAGAGAAAATTAAGGTGTGCATTTAAGGAGAAGCATGAACAAATCAATGAACAGTTTAGCACCACTAGTCAAAGGGGTGCAGGATACTTTTAGGGTAAGACCAGGCTGGCGTTTGGATATGTGCTGACTTTCCACGACAGGTTATATGAAGGCTGATTTAATTTCATATTCCCCCTGATAAACAATTGAAATCAGTTTTATTTGACATGAAAATCAAACCATTGGTTAGACAACACAACAGTTTTTGTAAGTGCAACCCATCATGTTAACATTAGTGTTTGTGTGTGTGTGTGTGTGTGTGTGTGTGTGTGTGTGTGTGTGTGTGTGTGTTTGTTTGCAACAGACCGGAAGATGGTGTCCACCCACCTGCCTTTGGCCTGGACCCACAGCTCCCCTCTGGAGGAACAAAAGTTAATGTCTGTACTGGAGGACTTAGCCAAGACGTTTCAGTCACACTAAGTAGGCAGGAGACCAGTACAACACTAACGCAACAAGTTTACACCGACTGAGGCTGGGCTCAGATTTTTCTTTTTTTTTTTTAAACAGAACAGATAAAGTTCCCCAGGTGATGGAGTAAGAATGAATCTTCAGTGCCCATTTAAAGTGGCAGTGCTATCTGTAGCCGCTAGTTTTAAGTAGGAGTGTGAGTGCTAAGATGTGTTTGGGAATCCCAGCCTCATAATGCCAAACTAAAGTCACAGATGATGAAGGGATTAGCGAGATTTGTAATGCTTTATTACTACTTGAATAAAGAAGCTTTTTTATGTCTTTTGGACTTCATAAGAACTAAACACTTTATTGTAGAAGTGTTTGATAGTGATGCCTTTATAAGTGAGTTATTGTGTCGATTTGGAGATCCCTCATAAAGCACAGACAGCACAACCTGTCACTGAGACTTTATTAAAGTTGTCGATCAGATGGGAATCTGATGGGACCAAAGTCACACACGACCAGCCACGGGTTCAGTGTCCTGCTTGTGTTCTGATGACTTACAACGTAAGCATGTGTGTTTGAAAGCTCTGTAAGTAACCTGTGTATTTGCTTTACTGTAGTGTAGTTTTTGTAATGTTCAGGCTGAACCCAGACTGGTATTGTGCTGTACTCTTTATGAGCTTAGACACAGTGCAGCAGCATCACTTGACACATGCAATAAAATCTGTAGATTTATATTTGGTGATATCTGCTGAGCACCTTAAAAAAAAAAAAAAAAGAAAACCCCAAAAAAACCCCAAAAACAAACAAACTGTTTTACTTACTGTGACTGCACTTGACTTTCTTGTAAATGCTTGCTTGAATAAAGAACAGCAGTGCTCGTTTTCTGTGAGTTTGTTCAACAGTTCTTACAAGTGGAAAGAAAAAAACCCAACAACCCACAGTCAAAGAAAGATATCAAATATTTTATTGGGCATCATATTTTTCTCTCTGTGCTCTGGCCAGAGGGGACAGAGAGACCAAAGTCAGCTCCGTATTGTCAACAGTATTTCAAAATACAGTTATCTGGAGATATTAACATCTTATTTGGAACAGCAAGTGTCTTTTACAAGCAGTTGAAAGAGGAAAAAGTCAAGACAGAAATCAGCTTACAGAGTTTGATATTATGGGTGGTGGTGTTGTGGAATATGAGTCACGTTTTACATGTTAAAGTGGCCTCTCATCCATTTTAGTGTTTGCTGAACTAAAAACAACAAAAATGACTCCTGTTCAAGACTGTGAAAGAAAAGGAACTAAGACATTAACCACAGGATGAAAAAAAAAACAAAACAGCTTGCTTCTGGCACTGTTGAAGATCTACTTTGTTCGCCATTTCTGCAAACAAAGAATCCAGGAGTTTCTCAGAAGACATGATAAGAATTAATGACTGGAGGAGACTTTAATGAAAGGAGAGCACTGACTCCTAATTGTACAGCAGCAGGACCATCAACCCTGTTGATCCCTAATGAATCATGGTGGTGTTTTTTTTCCCCTAACAATACTTTGGGGTAGGACTGAAAGAACAGTCTGCCAACACTGACCAACTGCTCATCAGCCAGTTGCTGTTGCCCATTTCTGATACCACAGAGGCTCAGATAACAACAACAGCCTTGGAAATAAGTGAATACACGTTTAAGCTGCACTGAGGTTATCACATTAGTAATGACTCAATTACAAGCAGAAAAACCCTAAGGCTGAAAAAAAGGAAACCAGTTCTTCAAATGGTTACTTGAGGCAGGCTCTGTCCTCACAGACCCCCGTGAAGGAATGGACAACTTTACAGCAGAAATAAACATCTGGTCTCTATAGCTATTTTCTGCAGTTGTGACAAAAGTTAGGGTAATTTTCTTCAGCCCCCCCCCCCCCCCCTCCCCCTTTTTTTTTTTGTTGTTTAAATCAGCGGTCCCCAACCCCCGGGCCTCGGACCGGTACCGGGCCGTGAGAATTGAGGCTCAGGTGTGAAATGTATGGTTTTCAGGGTTTTTATCAGTTTTCAGCGTTATTTTGTTATCGTTTTTATCGTTAACTCTGTTTCCTGGGTCTTTTCACGTGTGTTATGAATAACTCTTCTATTTTTCAGTACCGATACTAGTTTTATTTTGTTGTATTTATCCGCGACACCTTAAAGGCCGGTCCGTGAAAATATTGTCGGGCATAAACCGGTCCGTGGCGCAAAAACGGTTGGGGACCGCTGGTTTAAATTACATTTGGGCATAAAGTTTGGATTATACTGTCAGCAACATGCCAGTGTTGTTCACTTTTCATTCTGGTGTGAAAGTAAAACAAATAAATCAGTGGCCCTGAGAGGTCAAAAGGCACAGCAACCTAAGAAAACACCGGAAAAGCGAAAAACACTGCAAAAGCACACAAAATACAACAGAAGAAAAAAAAAAAACGTGCAAAAGGTAAAAAAAAAAAAAAATCTATAGAAAACCAACCTCAAAAAACAAAAGAAACGCAACAAAAGTGTTTTTGGGGAGACGGACCAGCTGTGGAGGTGACAAACTAACAGTAAACAGCTAAAAGCAAACATGCATCTACAGTATTTTATGAATATGTGATTAAAACACATACTACCCCTCATCTTTTTCCTCAGGTCACAGATAAACCCTTTGTTTCTTTTAAGCATCTCTCAGAACAAACCTTTTACTTCCGCAGCTGTTCCATCACAATACTGTGTCCCTAAAAACATTTCGTTTTTGTTCAGTTTTGTGAGATTCTCCCCCCCCCCCCCAAAAAAAAGACTTCCATTGACTTGTGTGTGATATTTTAATTTTTCTATTGGTCCTAAATGTCAAATAGACATTTTACTATTTGCTGGTGTTTCCTTAAGTATATGTGTTTGACCTCTCAGGTCAAACGTAGTTTTAATGTTAAAACTTTTAACTTTGGACTCTTCTCCTCTCAGCTTGGCTCCTGCCAGTTACAAAATACAAATACGCAGCTTTAATAATATTATTTTTTAATAAGTGCACAAATTTTAAGTCATGTTTTATAGCAGAGCTTCTGTGTCCACTTTGTGAAGAAATAAATCCCAAAAGAACCCAATATGTATGCTGACATTTAAAAATAAATTACCCTTCCTGTAAAGCTTTACATTATTGTCAGCTATCAGTCTAACCCCAAGTATAGCATTGTGTGCATGTAAATCATACATTATTTTGCTATAACAATCATCCCAAACCAATCAATCTCCATCCATGTAGCCATGTAAAATACTACATGATCCAACACCACAGATCATTTCAACATTAGCCAGTTTGCATGTGCTTTACTGAAGGTCTAGTTTGTCATTTATAACAAGGGAAATAAAGAAAACTAAGGATCCATTTACACTGATAACTGATAAATACTTTACTACAAATATAAATATACACTACATAATCAAAAAACTGGAATGTGAGTACATTTTGAAATCAGGAGTTCCAACATAATGTTCATTTGTCCACTTACAATAAGGCAAGCGTTAGTCTGACATGAGGGGATATTAGCCGCTATTTACAAGGATGCTACATGGAATTAAGCTATCGTTACTTCCACAGATTAACTTACCAAAAAATGTTTTCTTTAATTCAAAAAGCAACTATTGTGCAAGTAAGTGCAGTGCTGAGAACGTTATGAGACATCCTTAATGTACAGATGCACATCTGTGTTTAATCTGGGACAATCAGAAAGGGTGAAAGGAAACGAGAGCTTTGTGATGACATGAGTGCATGAGAGTGAGCACGAGTGAACAGTCATAAGCACTGGCAAACCATTTAAAAAGGCTTTGTGTCCTTCTCTCTTTAAGGCTTTTGAAGGAACGCAGGCAGCACTCAGCTGTACCTCGATTTAGCTGGAGAAAAATTCAGCACGTCAGCATTAAGTGCTACATTAGTTTAGAGTACCTGTCTAGTACCCAAGAGCCTTTGTGGTGGCAGGAAATCAATTTTTACACCACAATTTTAAATATTTTCCAAAGAAAGCGACGCATATCTAAGAGGTGGCATGCTCCTGTGCTTTTTGAAAAACTCATTTGCACCAGCATGACGTTAGGGAATTTAACCTACAAAGCTAATGCTAATCACATCTCAAACGGTAACGCAGCTCCTCGGAATGGTGGCGACAGGACTTTGTGGCTGTCGGCGCCCGTTCATATGAATGTTTCCAACTTTTCCATCCTTCACCTGAGACGATGAGACGGAGGCTTGGTCACTGATGTCACGCAGCTGCATCAAATGCCCTGGGAGATATTTTATCAAGAGATTTCCTTCATCCTTCACGGAAGCGCCTGTTCTATTAATTTTCACATTACACATTTATTTAAGGTAAAATTGACATCAACAGAGCCCCGCCTAGTGACAACCTACTGATGTAAAACCTCCTGAGAGTGATTTAAGGCCAACTAGTGAAAGAAATCAGAGACAGAGAGAGTCATTTCAAGCATCCAGCTCCACACACGTGACACAGGGCTATATACAGATGCTATGCTGTGATATGCAGTTTGTGGGCCACACTAATAAGCAAGGGAAGTTTTCACAGGAATGGCTAGTCAGCATTTTAGTGAAACACATACAATTCAAGGCCAAGAAAAAAGAAAAAGGAAAAAAGGACCTTTGTCAAAAGAAGCAATCAGATATACTTGAATGTAAACACTGATATCAATACCATTCGTCTCTTAGGAGAACCTGTTAGAGCACATGCACACATGTACACGCACACAGCCCTCGTTGTGCTTAGGGTGGCGTTTCAGATCAGAGCATCAAATCAGTCAAACACAGTCTGATGTAAGACTGATGGTGAAATTAAAGAAAAGATTGTTATGAGAAGCAAAAAGAATGTGGAGGGCTGCACGCACGCACACACGCACGCGTTCACCGAGCAGAAGCCTGGCTGCAGCTGAAGATCTCAGGCGTGAAGGGGAGCTGTACTGTACAGAGGGGTTTCCATGACATTAGAAGAATGGGCGGAGCAAATGAAGGGCCAGTGGGGCCACTGTGTAGAGGCCTTGGCCAATCAGCGTGGGGAGAAGCCTGTTGCTAAGCTACAGCCAACCACCTGTGTCATATCCCATATCTGTGGAGACAAACAGCCAACAAGAATGTCAGGACAGATAAATGTGGATGTGAAGTAAGGAAAACATGAAACAACACAAACTCCACAACAGTGTACACAACACCCAAGACAACAGGCTAGAAGGTTTTCAAGCAAGGCAGATATTCAAAAATGTTGAGACAATATATGCAAAAAGTGAAAACATGAACTTTCTAAAGCTTTGATTGCATTAATATCATCACATATGACAAAAAAGTTGCAAATGTTTGCTAATAAGAATCTAAAACCAGAGAAATTTAAAGGATTTTCTTTTCTTCTTGAAAATTCAAACATGTTTTCAAGTGCCTTGGCTCAATGCCTCTCTTCCAATCTCAGCATCAATAGTGAGCAACATTAGTAAACAGTAGCTTAGAATTGGAATGCAATAAAAACAAATATCAAGAAACGGTAAGCTAACATTACTCAGAAGAGAGCATGTTTTATGTAAGCTATTCAGACATTCAATTTATAGAGGGACTGCTTATGTTTGGCAACAGAACACTGTCTCGAACATCTAGTAACTCAATTAATCATTTAATTTATGTAGTGTAGATATGTCCCAGCTTGCTGGCTAACCACATCTGCCTTGCAAATGTTACCGCTAGCGAAAGGTGTGTGGAAATCCTAGTAGCTTACCAAAAACCATTGGCAGCTAACACCATCCATGACAGTAAGTTGTGTATAATGTGGTACTAATTTTAGCCAAATATAAATAATTTAATGGCAAAATGCAGAGATTTATAGCTATCATTCGTTTTCTACAATGATAGCCAAAATTAGTGGGGTTACTTAAGTTACAGCTTGGTTTCTTATTCTTCATATGCCAAATCAAATCTGTTGTTAATTTAGTCATTCTCAGGTTTACAGTATATATACTGCTCTCTCAGCTGTTGAGACAATAGCAAAACAATTCACATATCATACAATACATCCATAAATACAACAATACAATATTAATTACAATCATTAATAGTTCAGTATATTATGTGTTGCTCTTGCTAATTAGCCACCCCCACCATTAGCTAATAACTCCCAGTTCTACCATACACATATGGCCATGTCCAGTTTTATAAAATCAAGATGTCCAAAATACCAAACTCAGAGGTAGTCTGTGAAACAATGGGTGACGTCATGGTGGCCATCTCCATCTTTTACACACAGATTATGATCTAAGGTTTTTCAGATTTAACGGAGATCTGTTTTGGAAGGAGGATGAACATGACATAGCTCTGCACAATGTCACATGTAGTGCTGGTTTTAGCGGATGTGTGAAATCAGGAGTCCAATTAAAAGCAGTTTTTTAATGATATTTTTAAGGCTCTAATTCAGATTAAAAAGGTTTTGCATGCTGCTTTTTATAATGCTGAAAGGTTTTATAGGACTGCCTGTAAATATGAATGTTTTCATATACAAAAAAAATAGGTAAAGCTAGATTGTGGGCTTGATTTGCTTTGGGTTGCATTTTGCTTCAGAGGCTCTGTGCTTAACACAGCCTGCTCACATGCATGAATTATCTGGTATCAAAGAACTGTTGTTGACCTTAACAATGCGGTCACTTCCACAAGTGACCATCAGGCCTCTCGATGGATCCATGTCCATGTGAGCGATGTTGTGTTTCCCCTCGTGGAACGTGGCCAGCGGTGTCCGACTACACACACAATGACAGCATTTCATTACTTTCCCTCACTAATCTGGTAAAGGGGTTATATAATGTGAATACTACACAAAATTAAACTCACTCTTCTTCTTTGATGGTTTCAAAGCAGGCATCACACACCCGCACCGGGAACTCAAAGCCCATGATTGGAAACGTAGAGCGTTTGGAGCTACATTTTCCACACACGGCCTTGCCGCACTTCCTGCAGTGGTGCTGCACACAGGAAACAAGCTCATATCACATTGTGACTAATGAGGACATCAAAATGCTAAGGACACAGGCATGAGCAACCTACCTGTCTAAGTCCCAGGGTCTTAGTGTCCCACATCTGTTTGATATTCCAGAAGAAAGGCTGCTCACACTTCTGACAAGAGTCGCTGTCTAACCACTGAGGCGCCTGCAGACAGACAGACTCGAAGGCTAACATTACACACGCAGAGACACTCGAGGATTCACACAAGGACTAAGATGAAAATACAAAGGAGCGACTAAACTCTTTACCACTGATAGCAACAATCTAATACTAAAACAGTGCACACAGAGAAAACTGGCTTATGATTCAAACCTCTTCTCTCTGCGTGTCCATGTTCCACACTGCGATGCCTCCATCAGCGGAGCATGACACCAACTGCCTGGTCAACTGGAGGTAACGCAGAGCCTGAACGCGCTCGCTAAAGGAGTCAAAGATACAGACAAGACAATACATATCTTAACAACTACAACAATAGTGGACAAGTGTTCACCTGGTGGACAGAAACACCGGTGGAAACGATTTTCTTTTTTACTACTCTTGTATATGACCGATGTCACTAACAAGGGATATGATCATCTCAGGGTACGACGACAACAGCCTCACTTGCTGTTCAACCTTTTGCTTGTGAGTGCCAGCAAATCAGATGAAAGTTGGCTTAGAGGGAAAAGGAAGAGAACTAAAACAGCTTGCTTCACAGAGTTTATGAACTGAAGGCTGCACCACGGCCAAGTATAAGCTGTGTATGGAAACCTATAATAAGCAGAACAGGCCGACATTGATATACAAGTAAACTGGAGGACAGGATAAGGAAAAAAAAGATACAGATCCACAACAGGGTTTAAGACCTGTAGTGTGTCATAACTCTCAGTTTATGGGTGTCTGAGAGATAAATGTCTGCAAATCCTGACAGGGAACAACGGGGTCTTTTGAGACTGGCTCTGATAGGCATCAATGTACATGGGCTTTGTGGATAATTCCTGTACCTGGGAGGTGGTAAAATATGGATGAAGACAGGAGATAAAAATGGTGACAGTGCCTGGGGAAAGCTGCAACTGACACTAGGCGAGACCTGCCTTTGACAAGAGGATGCGGTTACAGAGTGTACTGCACATAGACACTGCTTTGAAAAGGATAAAAACAGGGACGTGGAGTTTAATTCCTGAAGAATTGTTCACATATCAACATCCCATTTTGCGAACTCACTTTGAAGTTCCCACATCTTTGACAAAAAGCAGAATGACAGCAAACTGGGATCCCATGCCTGAATGTAGCGACACTATAACTTACTGATGCCCCTGCAAGAGCAGTGTTCGTCCTTTGCGGCCTCCGATGTCCCACATAATGACACTGTGGTCGGAGGCCCCTGAGAAGAGCAGCCTCTGGACTGGGTCCCACCACAGCGCTCCTACACTACCTGGATGCAAAAGAAAACAGACTCATTATACGTGTTTCCATCTTCTGCCAGGAGCTCAACGGGACACAGGATCATGGTGCGATCTGCTGGCTCCACCCAGTGCCCGCTGGGAGAAATGCAGCCAGTTCCAAGTAACATTTTACAGCACGACTCTCTTAATGACTCCAGCTATAATTTAATTATTTTGTCTAATAAGCACGCACTACCACTATAACATATTACATATTTCTGTGCTATTGAGCCAAATGAAAGCCACATAGAGCAACTTCTAACACCAGTAATATCAGCGATGACTCTGACATTACATCTGACCTTTATGTTGTCTTTTCCAATTTTAATGGAACATAATCTCCATTAAATATTTGGGGCTTGTGCACAGTTGGAGCCCACCTATTAATATGTATCACCATCTGTCCAATTACCATGTGTAACCATGAGCACCAGAGCACAGGTGCAGATCAAAGAGAGCAGTAACAAGATTCAGACTGGTTTAATGCAAGCGTTTGTATTTTTAGGTTTTCTAAAATCGTGTGATTTGCCTGTTCCACCTGGCTATACCACAGGCAACATGTTTGAGGCTAAAAATAAATAAATAAATAAAAACAGGCTCTGAAAGGATCACATATTTTACTCAGTGCCTGGTTATCAAAAACTCAAAGAAGAACACAGGGAAGTGTTTGTCTCACACAGCCAAGTGTCTCGGCAGTTCAAATTTGTTGTGCGATCCATTTTCTTGGCACAGCTACAAGGACACTGAGCCCCTTGACTGCAAATCTCATCTGAGTCACAGATCATCGTTTGCATTTGCATCTTGATACAAACTGAGTCATTCTCCCATCTAAAAAGCCTCAAGTGGCCACTGAGTGGTTCTGATGAGCATGAAAACATTGCAGCTGCCAAGCCTCAACTAAAACAAGCAGTTACAGGAATTTGTAGAGCTGCAAGTGAGAAGGCATTTTCCACCAACACCATCATCATCAACCAGCCAAAACAAAACTGCTGTTGAAATGAGAAACAAAGGTCTGGCTTTTGCAGCTTAGTGCTATACTCGACATGATGAATTTTGCCTCTTAAAGGCAAACAGCAGCAGTAGTGCTGTAAACTATGACGTGTTTACATCTTCCGTTAGCGCCACTTCTGTTTTTTTAAACTTTGTTGATCATTCTTTCCGTTTACCTGCCTGCTGTGAGTGGACATGTTTCTTGTCATTGTTTCTGAGTGGACTGAAAGAAAACATCATGCAACAACAGGTCAAACACAAGATGGCACAAACAATGCAGCTCCACAAACAGCTGCTGACAGTTTAGTCTGTCATCTAGCAGTGGGATCTGATTGTCTGGTTCTGCTGGAGGTTTCTTCCTGTTAAAAGGGAGTTTTTCCTTCCCACTTTCGCCAAGTGCTTGCTCATAGGGGGTCATCTGATCGTTTGGTCTTTACCTGTGCAAAGTGAACTAACTTAGCCACCCCCTCCCCGCCTCAAGGAGCAGATCATCTTACGTTACACGGGGAGACGTCTCTGCCTCACTCTCACTATAGCAAACTGGTGTTTTAAGCATATGTAAACATGGTGAACTATTGTGTGAGACCAGTTTTCCTGAGAGGAAGAGAAATGGAACTTGTTTTTGTGCCAGCTGCAGCTGTCATAGAACAGGACGATTACATTCCTGGTGATATGATATGAGTTCTGGAGGGGATTTTGAAGCCAGGCCTGTATGATACTGACAGCTGGTGCGGTTCCTTCTGTGCAAGCAGCTGCGTCACTTACACCTCCAGGAGCAGCTTCCCGTACTGGTGCTGGGGCGACCAACGGTCAGTGATTGATGAGAGATTCAGCTCAAGAAAAACACCAACTGTTCGCCATAAGTCACTAATTTGGAAGTTTTTTGTTTGATAACTTCCAAATTAGTGGGTATCACGAATTAAATAATGTGAATCAATAAGAGCTGATACTGACGTTTTAGTTTCTGTATAGCTTCTATGCTCAATACAATACTTATATCCTAATATATGAGCACTAACCTTACAGTACCATATAGGAAAACAACATAAGCCAACGTTTTTCCATTTTTTCTCCTGATCCAGGTCTCCTTGATGTCTAACAAGTTAATAATTATAAGATTGTGATTTACATTTTCAAAATCTCAACCACACTTCTGTTACATGAAAGCTCTGTGGTTTTTGATTGTGCTATAAGCTCTGTTACAATGAATGACTTTAAATGTTTTTTAGGACATATATAGACTAGAAAATCTAGTCAATACAGTTATCGCTTCATTTATCTATACGTTTATCCACCGAGATCTCCAGACTGCAAGATGCTCTTAAAGCTTGTGGATGCATATTAATGAGAGATAACCCAGAACTCCCCTAAAAAGTCGCAAACAAGAAGGACCTCGAGAGAATATCATCACACATGAGAAATTGGTAGGAAAAAAAATAGCTCTAACAAGAAAGAGGGCAGGAATTATGTATTTAATTGCTGCATAAATGTTGGTATTTGGTGCCTGTTTATCAAGGAAGCGACATTTGTGTGTATCATGTATGCCTTTACCTTCATGACCCTTCAGTGTAGTGATGGTGGAGTACGTCTGCCTCTCCAGCTTCAGCAGAGTGATCTGTCCTGAGTGGTCGCCTACGAAGGCGTGCTGTGTCTCTTGATCGTATCTGAGCGAGGAGTCAGGGCTTGAACTGGCTTTACATGTTACTGTACTCTAAATGCGGCACAAACACTCAGTGAATAAAGGATACTGCAGGCAGGAGGCCCAGGCAGTGAAGTAGTGTCTCCCCAGCATGCTGCCACTCTGGGTGCACATCCAGCTCACACTCTTATCATGGCCGGTACTCACCACCCACTCACTCTCCAGGGAGAAGACCATATCTGACACGCGGTTCTGGTGGGCTGCAAAGAACAAATACATAATAAGTGCTAAAGAGCAACAATGCATGTAGATGACAAAAAGAAGACTTTGCTCTCTTTATGTCCTGATCCAATCACAGGTTCTGCTTAGTGTTCCTGTAATCCACACAAGCGAATCCTTTCAAACAATTTGCAGTCAACATCTCAGCCTTTGCAAACAGCAGGGGCTCAACTACTCCTGTTGTACTGTATTGTTTCAAACTGGCCAACAGCTACATTCAAATAAATCACAATACATCCCACATACTATGTGCCCATGTGTAGGTTTTTCCAAGTATATTGAAAGCAGCACTGATTAATGGCAACAGAACATAAACTAACTATAAAGTGGACAGAGGAAAGGTATTATAAGAATATATATGGCCTACTTTCACAACATTAACCTGTGTTGCAATTTCAAGGGCTTCTAGTAAGATGTTTTCTACACCTTCTCTAAAAAGGAAAAAAATCTTTCCAAATGACCTGGGTGAGATGAGTGAAATAACCATTGTGTGCTTATTTAAATCACTGAAAAAATAAATATGGTGACTACAGCAGCTTTAAATCAAATCACTTTATGTCACTAATCAGAATAATTGCCTTGCCGTTGTTTTCTTCTGTTAACTAGTAAAGTTCACATGTACAGAACTGAATAATCAAGTGTCAGTGTTACCAAATCAAAGACAAATAAAATAAAAAATAGTCTCAAACTCCTCTTCTGAGCCTGAATTATGGAATTAAATTGTGTGTGTGTTTTTTATAGACGTCACAGTGAAGCTAACCTTTGGAACTTTTGAATGTAAAATGCCATAACCTTCTCATTTATTACTGCCATTATCTTTATGGCTGATAGAAATGTAAAACATCACTGATAAAGTTCAGAAGGGAGTCATATTTGCCTAATCCAAGTGCACATGACCACATGACTAATTCTCTCCGTTACTATCCATTTTGTATTTCCTGTGTCTGTATTCCTTTTTACTGCATTTGTCTTGTCTGCATAACTAGAGGAACATTTTTATCCCCTAAATCCATCTAGCTTACTTACTTAAATCTGTAATCTGTGGGTGACTTGAGTGCTGGTGATGTAATGGCTATTACATCTATTATGACTAATAACGACAAATAAGAATGTCCTCACCAGGTCACGGTGAACACGCTCACATAATAAATGGAGCACAGACTTTGCTAAGTAATTAAACTGAAGTCCAGAGAGGAAAGATTTTTCTAAAATCATTCTTTTACAAAAATTTAGAAGCAGACTGAACACGTGCTGGCATAAAGGACGTTAAAAGAGGTCAATGTTCTCTCGTGTACAGCTCTAAGGAAATGAACACTGCCTGCCAGTGATGATGCTAAACTGTGCATGGCTCACAGCCCTCGTGTATGTTTAAACTGACTGTGGGTTTCTGTCGCTGCCGGTCAGGCTTGGCAGCTTGATTGTGCTACGAACGGTAGAAACCAGATGGACCATTATAGTGGTGACATGTGCTGGCTCAAGCCTGCTGAGGAGGATAAATAGCTGCTGGTACAGTCACAGGAACAAGCAACAGTGGCAGTATAACAGCAGATGAAGATCACAGTGGAACAACAGTTTAAAGGTGCCTGTGTTACAAAGCAAAATAATTTTCTGAAACGCCTTCCACTTGGATCTATTAGCACAGTTTAAATGTGCATTTGTGGAGGGCTGACCTTCTGACTTCTTATTGCGATGAAGAAATATTTTGTGGGTGATGCTATTTGATAATACACCGGTAGTTTTCAAACCACATGTCATCAGTTCTCTTTTTGACAGCTCATTTGCAGCATCTCTGCAACAGATGACTCACTCAGGCTAAGGGCTGTTGACATCCCGGACCGGCTGAAGCCATGGCACATTTGTAATACTGTCTTTTTCCTTCTCTCTTAATCAGGTGAGTCATGCACCAACCAAGAAAGTTTTCAATTTCATTTCCTCACTTATTAACCTCCCAGCTGTCAGTCAGGGCCTTTGCTGTGTCATAGTGTCCACTAACCGGAAACTGACAAGTTCTTTTTTACAAGCTTCTTGAAGTTTGAAAAGGGAAATGGATGTGTAAAAAGTACAGACAGAGTGAAGTAGCAATCATTTGACAACTTTTTATTTGGGGGGAGGGGCAACCAATCTAAATATCAACAGTACTGATGCCAATGCTGATATTGGTATCGAATCAATACTAGGATCGATATTTTAGTTTCAGTGGCTCTTCCATGTTCAGTACTTGCTCTCGTTCATCAGAAAGTAGACATGTTTGTGCAAACACTGCTCCTCTCACATAAACGCATGCTGCTCCCCCTGTGTGGCTGTTCTGTGACTGTCAAACCACACAAAGTGTGTTTTGACAAGTCATTAGCCGATACCCTGGATAAGCCTCCTTTCTGCAACTTACAATGACCAGAATTTTTAAAAATGGACTTAATGTGTTATTCATTATGACCTGAAATGAATAATTTAGGCCATAAAATCATCAGGAAAGTTTTCACACAAGTCAAGGCTGAGGGCTGTTGTCCCATAGACTTCTATACGACCGGAAGACCTTTTGACCTGTTCACCTGCCAGGTAATGCCCCTGGTTGCTATTAAAAAGAATGCAGTTTTAAGGCACTTCATCATTGCCTTCGATTTTGATATCATCTGTGGTTTAATAATCCACCATGTAGAGTTAGGCCTTTTAATTTAAGTCGAATAACTCGCTGATTAGCCTCGTACACTCAAACTGGACTCTACTTCTTCTATTAATTTTCTTATCTCATGATCTCACCTGGATACGTTTTCACGTGGTTCATCTTGTTGAAGTCTTCGGAGATGAGAAACTCCTGCAATTCGAGCAAACAAACGGAAATAACTTCAAATTAAATAACTCTTCAAACCCTCTAAAGCCAGATTCAACAAAGAAAATATGAAGCCAACGTGTCTGGGTTAGCTGCACTCACCACAATCGCCCCATTGTCCTGGCCTATGAAGATGCGTCTGCTGTCGTGGTGATACGACATGCAAGAGCATGGAGCTGGAAAGAAGTGAAGACATTCACAGTGAGCGGGAACGTCACACACAGGGGGTTTCATTATATGGCTGTAAATGCAGTCAGAGCAGGGGGGTAATGGATGAAAATAACTGTCAGCAGTTTCTGAATATATTTGTTTAATTCTGACTTCAGCTGTAGCTTTAAATTATTGAAGGATTCAAATTAGAAAAAGGTTCTTTCATAAAGACCAACTGCTATTAATTCATGCCTCTTTTGTTGTGAGGACAGGAAAGATTGCATCAAGATGAAATCGAGCAGTAGATGTCATCCCTCTAAAATTCCTCTCTGGCAACATCGCCGTCTCTCTAACTTCAAAAATGTGCAACACAGACACGTTCATGAGCAGTGCAACCCTTCTGTCATCAGGAAAAACCTCAACCTGATCTGATTACAAAGCAGCAGCGATAAAAATGCACTCGTAAGAAACGCACGAAGATATATGAGAATATGTGATCAAAAACAACATTTGTGGCACTCTTGATTCTGCAGCAGTTAAGTACGTGGCTAATGGGAGAAACAGCCATGTCAAATAAAATCAGTAACTGATGACATTTCAAAGTAGTCTCACCCAAGCGTGATACAGCGTTACTTACAGGAGACTGTATGGTAGATGCTCGGCCAATACTGACCACTGTCTCTCTTCAGCCACACACGGATGGTTCTGCAGGAATATGTCACACAGGTGAACATTTAATGTACTCTCCAGTGTTCAGTTAACTACAAGCAACGACATTCTCATTCTGTGCAGGACGTATTTTATGACATTCAACTTAACACCTTCCATGGAGGAAAGTACTCTGTACCTTAACAAGACCTGACTGTCAGAAGTAATATTAATACCAGAAGTGATGCCGACTTCATGCTTGACTGAGATCACAAATAAAACCACATTTTAGAAGAGGTGACTCAAAGCTAAACTTAGCATTAAACCACTTCTTGGATCTTCTTTTGGCCTGCTAACATCTGGAACCTGATTTTAACAAAAGCACTTCTAATGCAGATTTGGTTGTGATTCTTTCCACTGTAACACCTTATGACTCAGTCATTAAACGTGCCATTTACATAGGAAACTGGGCAGCTTTGCGGAATTCTTGTGTACTGTTGCATCTTCAGCACTTTTCATTTCAAGTGCAGTCAAAGTACGCTTCCCACAGCCTTTTTCTTCCATTAAAAAGGGAATTCAGTCAGTTTCACTTACTAGCAAGTAACGTGTCTGCGAGGAAAAGAAAAACAGACATGAAACACAGCGTCTGTGCAGCTTTCTTGAAGGAACCCGTTTTAACACCCCACAACTTCTCCTTTTCATATGTACTGTATAACATTGTTCGTATTAACTGAGTTCCCTTTACTCTGAAGGCGGATGTAGTCTCTTTTTAACACTTGTGACCAAGCATGCATTTTCTAAAATCTAACATGTCTAAGTGTGGTATTTAATGTCCACAAAAAAAAATTAAAAAAAAATCACAGCCACTTCGATTACTACAAAAATGGGTTCCATTTCGACAAATAAATCCTCGAGCACTTGAAGGCATCATTTTGACAGTAATGTTTACTGTACTCGGTAGCACGCTAGCTAGCAAGCACAACATTGCAAGCAGTTTTAATATCTTTACACATATTAAGCCACGAGTAGTAATAATAAACGGTACATACTGAACAAAAGAAGCTTTATTTTTACATTTCGTATTAGGTCCATTACTATTATCCAGAGATTTTCCGGATTGAACTCAGATTCTGAGTGTATTTCTATCCCCACACCCTCCTACGTTCTCCTCAGCTATTATGAAGCCTAGAAAATATATATTCTCAAAGCGATACACGTTGCTTATTATCTTTATTCTGTCCTTCTTAAGCCAGTGCACCAGGTATTATGAGTCTAAAGACCAGTAAATATACCGAGCCCCCGCTAGCTAGTATTAGGCTACACTTAGCTTGCCTGGTAAACATACCTGTCCTCGCTAACCGTGATTACTCCATCTTCTTTGGGTATTAAAACGGCTGCATTGACAGCGTCCGAGTGTCCCTCGATCTTGTTCAACAGAACCGGTCTAGCTGTCTGGGGCCTCGAGTGAATCTCCGCAGCCATGGTTTTAACTTGCCAGGAGTGTTTTCCTTCAGCTGATTTTCCTCCTTACTCGCCAGTAAAGGAGGATCAGCTGACACCCGGAGCCGCTGTCGGGATCACCGTAATAACGTGAGGAATGCGACCAACGAATTCAGACTGTGAATTTTATAAATGCTGTATGAGAGACTATTTGGTTTTTCAAGATGCTGGATCACAACACAAGCAACCAAGTGCCACGAGACACTAACTAATATTGCTGAGTTAAACCAAACTATAAGTAAATCACATATAATTCCCTTTCGTCTGTTTAAACGACTTTTTCACGTAATAGGGCCACCAACAATTACAAATATGTGTTCAATGACAGTGACAACCTACGGAAGAGGATTAAGGCCACTGGGCACGTCTATTTTTTTCTTCTTTTCTGACTTTAATCTCAGAATTCTGACTTTTTATTCAGAATTCGGGAAAAGAAGAAAAAAAAAGACGTGCCCACTTTTTCCCCCCCAGTGGCCCTAATCCTCTTCCGTAGACAACCTTCTTAAAACGAGTAAAACCAATACAAATCTGTTATTAAGAAATACATGTTGACCTTGCAGAACCATCTAATTTTAGACCAGTCTCAGTCTATCCAACGGTTAGAGAAAGTGTTCTTCCAGCAGCTGCAGTCTTTTCTACACGATAATGACACCGGTGTCGTTTCTAGTCTGGTTTGATATTCTATCACAGCACAGGACCTGCTCTTTTAAGACTTTTTAATAGCCTCTGGTGTATTGTTGATGATGGCGACTCTGTATACTCGTATTACTGAATCTCACTGCTGCTCATTGTATATGCTACCATTTGCGTCTATATTTTTTTTTAAAGGAAAAGAAAACAAAAGAAAAAAAAGACAGAGACATCATGTAGACATGCAAGGAGATACAGTAGAGTGTGCACAGTACTGTATATGGTAAAATTGGTGTCTTTGTCCTATTGTAAATGATATATAGGGTTTTAACAATTTGTAAAATATATTTTAATTCATTTATGTAACACAGGATTTAGACTTTTTACCCTGGGTTTTATTGGCACCCACATGACCAATACAGAAAAAAAATTTTTCCTGTGGAACTTGTATAAACAAGCCATCCATGACCCTCAATAATGAAAAGCTTTCAAGTACATTGGTGGCGCTGACTAAAAACTAGATGGATCCGCTAAATTACTAATATATGACTGCCAGAGTTTATAATTGAAAAAAAAAAGTACCATAATATTCAGATATGCATGTAAAACTACCATAGTAGAGAAAATAATTATTTGATGTCCTGCTAAATGTATAAGTTTGCTCATTTCAAAAGAATTGAAGCGTCTCAAATCTTATGATACTTTCATTTTTTTAGTGAAGAAAAGCAACTGAAAATCCAGAAATATATTCATGAAAGTTACGCATTGATTTGCATGTCATTGAGTGAAATAAGTATTTCATCCCCTACAGCCCAGCCTGAACTCTGGCTCCCACAGATTTGATTACACTCAGTGCATTAGAGATTCCTGATCTCAACTCGTTTTGTGTAGAACTTATGATCTGAAACACACTGCCAAGGCTGCAATGGAGTAGCTAAAGAACCAGTACATGGAGTGGCCCAGCCAATCTCCAGACCTAAGTCCTATAGAAATTCTGTGAAGGGAGCTGAAGCTTGGAGTTGCTAAGCAGCAGCTAAGTAACCTAAAGAATTTGGAGAGTTTCTGTAAAGAGGAGCGGACCAAAATCCCTCATGAGATGTGTGCAAACCTGGTAACCAACTACAAGAAAGTGTTGTGCACACCAACAAGAGTTTCTCCCCAGATTACTAAGTGATGTTTTGCTTGGACATCAAATACTTATTTCACTCAATAACATCCAAATAAATGTATAACTTTTATGCAAAGTGTTTTTTTGATTTTTATTTATTTGGGCAAACTTACAAATTCAGCGGGGGGGGGGGGGGGGGGGGGGGGGGGGGGGGGGGGGGGGGGGGGGGGGGGGGGGGGGGGAGAGAGAGATCAAAATTATTTCCCTAACTGGATTACAGAAAATAAGCCAGTCAAAAATCACTCATGTTATGAATGTGTATTTATTCCTTCACCTCACCCCAAAAGTTTGAAGAAGACTTTCTCTCTGAGGGAAAGAATAATTTCAAATGCAAAACCGTTGCAACGGCACGAATATTGCCGTAACTTACGAGTGAAACGTAATACAGACTGGAGTTACAACACGAAACGGAAACACTGACATGATAAATAAACTGATTATCCTACTCCAGAGAAGAGAAAATACACAACTGACATTCAAAGTCTTTTAAAAATGTCATTAATTCAAAAAAAGGATACAAAAAAATTAAAACTGGAAAATTTAGTCAGCAAAATACATTTTATACAGCATGTTATGCAATACAGAAAATAAGTAACATAAAAAGCAACATTTAAAACAAATCACATCATATATCCACATTGTACAAACATGTTCAGCAAAGTGTGCTCTGTATATGTAGGGGTGTGTTTATGTTTACTTTGTATTCTGATACATGGCAGTGTATAAGCATATCCTGTTGTGATAAATGATGCTATGGTTGATGATGGGGCTGGGCTCAAGGCTCGTTGATCTGGCCCATGAAGAGGACGGTACCTGGAGACAGACGCAAGGAGAACTCGTCACGGTGCAGTGCTTTACAATCAAACATTTTTCAGCATTTTAAGGTGGAAATGGAAGAAAATCTGTACCTGTCGGGTTATGTCTGATGAGGAACGCAAAAGGTCTGTCAACTGTAACCCAGGGTGGGGAGGAACGGGCCAACAAAATAGCAGCTAAACAAAAGCAAAAAACAAAAACAAAAAACCCACAAAACAGAACATTGTTAAAACATGGGAGAAACTTTAAGTTAAAGATGAGGCTTACTGAACAAATGCTCACTAGTGGCTGCTGCTGCTTTTGTTCCATCTTCATTCACGATTATTTTGGCTTTCTGGAGTGCCTTGGATACATACACAGGCTCCGAACCTGAGGAAACGACAATACGCAATCATCTTTGCTTTCTCTGTATGAACCAGACCTTCCACATGCAACATAGATTGCATAAATATAAAAGTATGTTATAGTCCTTTGTAAGCTACACCACATGATGGCAATAGAGCATCCCCATCTGCTGGAAAGCTGATGGGGTACTTTCCTAGGGAAAATCCTACAAACTCTTGGCCAATTACACCACAGGGTGGCACTAGAGCTCTTCATCCCCATCTCTTCTCATTCCAAACTTTCAAGAAGATGATGAATGACAAGACAAGAGGAGCAGTGATTCAGCATTTCACAGTCAACTACGATTCAAGCTCCTTACTGGCCATCAGTGACTCTCTGTAAACAGCCAACAATCCATTCATACTTCCAGGCTCTGCTCATATCTAAATAGACTGGATAAATACTGTGGCGGTGCAAGAGAACATGCGTCAGCGTCTGGTTTGCAGTGACTCTGCTTTCACTCACTGAGATGTCTGAAGTCAGCTTTGCCCTCACTGAAAATGTTCGTGATTCCCAGAGCTGAAAGTGGATCCTTCAAATCCACCTCTGCATCAGCCGTAAACCTGAGAACACAACGTAACAGACAATGTCACCATGTATCAAATTTGAAGGGACATTATATTTATGTGCGTTTGTGCCTTACTTTGGGATGAGCAGGCGGACTTTCCTCATGTGCATCAGTTTGGTCCAGCTCTGCACTGTGGCTGTGCTGATGTGGGGAATGACACGAGACAGAGGGGTGTCCTCTTCAGACGGGAGAACGATTAGCATGCTGATGGTGTTGCCATGATAAGGAAGCTCAATTACCTTGTATTTGAGCCCCTGGGGTGTGGAGGCTAGGCCTAGCAGAATACAAAAATCTGAAGTTAGAATGCTGCAAAACAGACTTCCATCCCCTCCACATTATCTTTCTACCAACCCTGCACCAGCCATCACCATTTTCGTAATAATGAAGTTTACCATGTACACAATGGTCAAATACAAATAAAATCTAAAAGACAAGTAAACACTAAAAGTACCGAACGCCACACACACATCTGTAATCGCCCTTTTAGCACAGCACACCATGATGGCCCTCAAAACTTTCTCCTGGATCAATGAGTTTTAAGTTAAACTATCTGTAAGACAGTCACCATTAATTATCATTATTAACAGAAACATGAATTCTGCTCTCCCACAGAAAATTATAAATGCCAGTCGAAGCTCACCGTTTTATACTGAATGGTCCAGAAGGAAGAAAGTTAAGGTTTTCAAAATATTTTATGGGGGAATTAAGGAAATTAAGATCAACAAAAACATCAACCTATTATTTTACTTAATTACTGTTGCATGTATAACTTTGTATTACCTCACATTATGAGGCCTTCAGTATGGTGCTATAGTACTTGATGTTTATAGTTAAGTACTACAGCATATGTTTGTATGTACTTTGAGCTGCTGCTGTAATTTCCATTGTGGGCTCAATCCAGTACCCATCCATCAGCTTAAGGTTAATTCGAGGCAAAGACATTAATAAAACAGAACACATTCTGAAGTGTTTGATGTGTGACAAAAAAAAAAAGAAAAGAAAAAAGAAAAGAAAGAAAGAAAGAAAAAAGAATGACAAAACAGGTTTCATCCCATGGGGATTTTTCTCCAGTTCTTTCTTACTTTATTTTAACAAGCAAATTTGCCAAACTCCAGATTTTGCCAGGACTTTCCACTGAACAACTCTGAATTTGTGTGGGTAAATGTTTTTGTTTAACCACAATGGTAATCAGTGATGGTTATCACTTTCTATTTTGTCTGGAAGCAGAAAATCCCTGGCTTCCTGAGGACAAACATACTCTCCCAGAAAAGACCCATGAAGAACACCAACTGTAAGAATACTGTGTTAAATTAGCTAATAAGGGGGTATAGCATAAGACATATGCATGGTACAGTTTTTGCAGCTTTCAGCATTTCACTCAATTCAAATATGTCATTAACATTGCTTAAAGTTTGAGACAGCACTTTATAGCTTTTAAGTATCACCTTTTTGTGCAAGTAGATACTCTTGAATGATGTACAAGAACAGCAAATGTGGAGCTGA